TCTATAATTTAAAATCCCGGCATACCTTTAATATAATAGATAATTTTTCAATACACAAACTAAATTCATTGAAATATATTTATAAAATTTTGAATAATCAATGCCTACATAACTAATATATTTAAATTCCATTCTACTCCCAATAATAATATCAATAAAAGACGTAAACTTCCGAAGCTACGACTTTCTCTAGCCATATGCAGTTTATGTTTTAAGGGATCCAGTCTTTGGAATAACCTACATTCAAATCTACAAGTTTTGTACAATTTTAATTTCATTTCATAAAAATATTTCAATTTTTAACTCAAAAACAAATAATTACAGTTTTGGACCAAATTTGTATATAAAATTCACAGTTATTACATGTTTCTTTTGTTATCATTTTGACATTGCTTGTATAATTGTTGATGATTAATTTTGTTTGTATGTATATAAGTTGGGCGAAATGCAAGAAAGACTTTTTAGCCTAATTTCCTATCTTAATAAAGTGATTATTATTATTATTATAATGATCGCAGTGCGAAAGCAAACCTGATCGAAACAAATTGAATTATTAACAACACTTACTAAATTACAATTTGTTCATAATAAAACTACAATTACTCAAATGTCTTCACAAAAAAACTACAATTACTCAATTACAATTTGTTCAATGTTATTATTATTATTATTATCAAAAGGATCGCAGTGCGAAAGCAAACATGATCGAAACAAATTGAATTATTAACAACAATTACTCAATTACAATTTGTTTAATGTCTTCATAATAAAACTACAAATTAATCAATTACAATGTGCTCGATGTCTTTTTAATACAACGACAATTAATCAATTACAAATTAAAACAGGAGCATTTATAAATTTCCCAATCAGCAGTCTCTATTGTGTTCAAAACTTGAATATCATTTGTCTTAGTACATTCAACTTTTAAAAAAACAGAGCACAGTGCACAAGAAGGTATTAGAGCGTCTCTATTGTGTTCAAAACTTGAATATCTTTTATCTTAGTACATTCAACTTTTAAAAAACAGAGCACAGTGCACAAGAAGGTATTAGAGCGTGAGAGAGGACACCAGGTCAACTTTATGTAAGGTATGCACTGTATTTGACAATTAAAAGAGTCTACGAGACATCACGATTTTTCATTACGCTATTTTCACATGTTTCATCATCACATAACTTGAAACCCCCCAAAAAAATTACTCATGCACAAAAATATTTATCTTCAATATCTAGTGAATAATACCGACTGATTTTGTTCTCATGAACAGCACCTTAAAGTTAGATGCCCACAAAATTTTAATTTTTTAACTCGACCGAAATGAGTCTCTGTTCATCACAGTGGACCTACCTGGCGTCATAACTATACAATAGAATCCCTCTATAATCCAATAATTTATAAAACTATAAGTAATAGTAATAATTAAACTTAGTTATTTGAAACATGCTTAAAAGCGTTTATTAACAATTATTTAGTTCTAAGATATATCGTCTTACATAGAGATTCTATTCTTTAGTCATGGTACTTGGTAAGTCCAACTGATGAATATATACACAGTCTTGTTGACAAGGTTTCAGTCTTTAAATTTTATGCCCATTCTAAGAAGAAGTAAATAACAATAATGAAAAAAATATTCTGAATAATGGATTTGATACACATGCAACTGAAGCTTAAACCTACACCAGAGATTCTCTACCTGTACCAACTATGATAAGACACCTGTATCAGAGATAGGCATCTTGACAGTGACAGACACCTGTATCGAAGATCGGTATCTTGACAGTGACAGACACCTGTATCGAAGATCGGTATCTTGACAGTGACAGACACCTGTATCGAAGATCGGTATCTTGACAGTGACAGACACCTGTATCGGAGATCGGTATCTTGACAGTGACAGACACCTGTATCGGAGATCTGTATCTTGACAATGACAGACACCTGTACCGAAGACACCTGCGTCTGACACCCAGACCTCTACCTGGGACAATACCTGTACCAACTAGGATAGACATCTGGAAGTGAGATCGACACATCGACCTGGGACACTACCTGCACCAACTAGGATAGACTTCTGGATCTGAGACCGATACCTAGACCTGGCAGTGTATTCTCGAGACAATCTTATCGCTAGCATGTCCTAAGGTCTAAACTTCAAACACCGGTTTTAGGATATCCCAGCGCTAAGATTGTTTCGCGAATACGTGGCCTTGACTCTACTTCACCAACTAAGACAAACATATTTAATTAATACGAGACACATATAGACAGATTGTTGAACCTGGGACAGAAACCTGAAACCTGTTTTATGACAAAAGACTTAATAATAATTTAAGACTATAAAAAATATTTTCATATTTACATATATACAAGTTATAAACTTTCCTGTAAAATATCATAAAAGAACCACGTCATTTACCACAAATATATATAATAATATATCATTTAAAAAATGTCATTTGAATACTGAAATGTACGCAATTTTAATTTTGCAAACTTATATATGACTAGATTTGACGAAAAAGAAACTTAACTGGTGTGGTTTAATACCTGATAAAATTTTTAACTTCTTTAAACTATTTTCCCCATATGCAAAATATCCTGTAATGTCATTGCTCTTCGCGTGGCTCAAATTGATGGATTTTGTGGGAATTTCATTATCATTCACTTATACCTCAGAGGAAATTTAGTCTCCACAAAAAGAAATGATTTATAGTTAAATACAGTAAAAAATATTAAAATTGCAATATATTGGAAGACATTAATAAATGTATAGTTCAACCCTACATTTTAGTGAAATTATCAAAAAACAGCATTAAAGGGACAAGTTTGCCATTATTTGGGGCTTGATGGTGAGATGTGAACACTATTACTGATTTGCTTAACTAAAATAATTCTCATTTCCGAGACTGGTAAGATTGAAAAACGGATGGCAAACCTGTTCCTTTAAATAAGAACTTCATATTTCTTTTTTACCCCCTGATGATCTGTTAAAACACTGCTGGGTTGGTAATGTCAAAAAATAAAGGGGATTGTATGGTTACAAAAAATAGCTCGGGATTGTATGGTTACAAAAAATAGCTCGGTATTGTATGGTTACAAAAAATGAAGGGTATTGCATGGTTACAAAAAAGCCGGGGATTGTATGGTTATAAAAAATAGTCGGGGATTGTATGGTTACAAAAAATAGTTGGGGATTGTATGGTTACAAAAAATAGCTCAGGATTGTTTGGTTTCAAAAGATAATGGAGATTAAAGGGATGTGTAAAAAATTTAATCACAAAAAATAAATGGGAATTTGTATGGTCACAAGAAATAAAGGGCCATGGTAGAGTTGTACATTGTACAAGTCATAATTCAATTCAGATATCTCTGTTTACATCTCCAATAGGTTACAAAACAAGCTTAAAGGGATTGTAATGAGGTTTTCTGTATCGAGACACTGAAATCATCAATTTGCACCAGTCCATTTTTTTCAATTTTTCAATCAGACGTTCGTGGTTTCCTGCGATTCCACTAAATGTGTTAATAACGTCACTAATCACGAGGGGCATTATGTGATAAAGCATACTTTGCGATTATTGACAGCATCAAACAATAAGTTTTAGTGGAATTGCCGGAGCCTCAAACGTCTGATGGAAAATTAGGATGCAGGAAAATATTGCTATCAGTCCCCGATACACATATAACATTTAGAAAACATCTTTACAATCCCTTTATGCCACCCCAACACTTGCACGATTCTGCCCAAACAATATCACCCACTTTTCTGTGCCTATGGTTAATTTCCTCATGAACTAGTGTGAAATTTTAATATTATGTGCATGCTACTCACATGACCCATGCATTAACACTTGTGCAAACACAACCCAAACACATCCGACATTGTGTGTCAAAGCGTTGATACTACAGTAAGAAAAAATCGTCCTTCCTTTAATAATGGGCAATAATACATAAACAATGCACAAACAAGTAGTGCCATTGCATATCAATATGTGCAAATGCAGCCAATGTTTTGGTCATGCGTTCTGTATACATGCACAGTATGTAGCGCGAATAGGCAACAAATGAAGTAACGAAATGGTACAGCATGGGCCGGGACAAAAATCTCTCAAGTGTGAGGGTGGTTAGAGCAATAACAATAAAATACAATTACAAGGGATATAATGACTTGACTAAATATCTTGGGGTTTATCATATCAACAACAGTTGTGAAAGATAGCTTGGCAGGCAAGGCAATCTACGTCCACTGGCAGCTTTGATTTGAAACAAATATATTTGGCAGTACAGTAACAATTACCAGTATGAAATATTCAGCCTTCAGTTATACACTTCTTTTGAATTTTTTGGGGTGATACTGAATAATATTACCAAGTTTTTGTCAAAATCCAGAAAGAATCGTGCCTTTTAGTGTTTAATGAATAGAACAAGGTCGTTATAAGTCATATTAATATTTTCCGCTTTTTGATTTTTAATAGGGTTCTCCATGGGTGATAATGAGCAATTTCACTGAGTTTCGTCAACAGCCACTGAGAATTGTGCCTTCAATTTTCAAATTTAACGCATTTTCAAGAATAAGGACAATAACTGATTATATCCTCAAAAGACGTCAAGAATTGTGCCCTCTGGAGTGTTTACAAGCTTCAAATTGAATGTGTTTTCAAGAACAAGGGCAATAACTCATACTAAATATTTTCTATTCTTCTAATTTTCAATAGGGTTTATCCTGGCGTGATCAAAAAAATTTTCACCAAGTTTCTTCAAGATACTTCAAGAATTGTGCCTTCTAGAGTGTTTACAAGCTTAAAATTGAATGTGTTTTCAAGAACACGGGCAATAACTCATACTAATTATTTTTCGATAATTCTGATTATTTCTCCCTTTTTTCTTGTGGGCGCATAGAAATATGTTGATAATAGTTGAAATCAGATATTATTGCATGTTATGTTCTTCACTTATAAATTACATTTTAAACGGATGGTTGATTTTAAACAATCATTCAAATTTCAGATATATTTTATAACTCACAAAATCATGTAATGTAAAAAAGTAATAGAGAAAAAATGCAGACACTTGTCACCATGAATAATTCATATCACACAGGGCAGAAAATTTTTGAAAGAAAAATAAAAATTTTAATGTAACATATAGTGTGAAATCTTGCTGCATTGTAAATATAGAGATTCAAGTTTCAACGAATATAGTCAACTAAACATTTAGCGAAAAACATTTGGCAAACTAAAAGAATTCCCCATCAACTGCTTGCTTAGCACAATATATTCCTATTGCTTCTGAACAATCATCATGGAAGACTGACTGACAATCTTGATTGAGGACTTCAAAACTCACAATAGTCACGGTTAGTCCTTTAACCAAATCCTATCTATTATCCAACAACTATGCTCGTACCAGGATGTCAGAGGAGCACCGTATTGGTTTGACAAAGCTTTATTGCATTCTAAAACCACATTACTATCAAGTAGTCACTCTCGTCTCTAATTCTACCTTCTCTTCCGGAGAGTTCAGATTATCAGCAGGTGCTTTATATAACTTTAACGCTAGAGAGCAGAAAATAATGGAGAGAATTTTAGTACCCACAAAAAGCAAAAAGATATTTCGAATCATTAAATGATGATCATAAATCCAACAGGACAATATTCTTCCACATTCTTCTCTCCATACAACACATGAATCATCTAACAGACGTCCAAATATAACTGGCCCTGGAACAGTACCTGAACAAAATAACAGATTTGAGTTTATGGAAATACTTTCAGTTGTATAGAATACAATGCAATGAATGACAGTGGGAGTTTGTCATCACATGTTGGTAAGAAGTTTTCATTATCAAAAATGTCGTAAATTATACCTGAAAATCTTCAAAATATGCTATTTATATCTATGTATTTTCTTGATCAAACTGAATTTGCTTTAAAAGGTTTAATTCAAACGAAAAGGACCAATTGATTAATTAAGCAGTTTGAACTAGTTTTGGTGTTTGGTTTTATAATGGCTCCATATTATTAGTTAAAACCTTTAGAATACGTAGAAAACATATTTCTCTACAATTAGGTGTTTATTTTACTTAAATCTGAACAGTAGTTTTCTAACAGCTTCCAAAAAGTATAACAAACTTAAAAACCTTACATAATGTTTTTAAATATTTTTGACGTTTAAAATTAATGGCTGGATTTTTTTGTTAAATCTTTCAGATAAGATAAAGGGCACATTTCTCTAGATTTTGGTGTATAGTTTTCACAAATCTGACCAAAAAAAATTTCGACCTACAAAAAGTCTGTGTGTTTTTGTTGAATTGCAGGGGAATGTAATGATGTATTTTAATTCTAAAAAGAGATAAGCTAGCAGATATAAAGTTTCATCACTAAGCATAATCAATATCAATCATATATATATATATACATACATACCCAATAATCTAACAATAAATGATTTTAATCCTTGAGCAAATGTTTTATCTTCAGCATTAACACATCTATAATACAAAAATAAAAACATTTTGGCTTTGCTCTGAGTTTCATATAGTGCAATCTTCAGAAACTGGACTATTTTCTAACTGAAGTTTGAAAAGTTATAGTTACTCAGATCATTGGTTCCTAAACGTTTGGACTTCAATTTTATTATAATTTACCTCTGTTAATAAATGGAATAATTTCAGAAACACACAGTCTTTTCCTTCTACTACGGTGGTTCATATACAACATCATTAATTTTTTTTTTATTTTGAATTAAAAAACTGGAATATAACTATAAAACATAACTTGTATTTTCACTCAGGTGATAATTCAATAATATCAATAAAACCTTGAATTTTCACCTGGGTGTAAATTAATATTCACCTGGAAATTCAAATTGTATACGATGTGGTATAGGAACCACCGTATTCTACAGATGCTGAATTTTTTCATTACATTTGATGACACCTGTCAATCTTTTTATAATCACTGCATTTTCTTTGCCAAGTAATCAAGAATGAAAAATAGAAAATACTATACCTAAGTTGGACGGAATCGCCTGGAGCAATAGGCAGGAAACAAAATGAGATCAGTAGAAACAATAAACAGAGAAATACATATAAAATAGTACATGACTTCCTACAATTAGTATCCCATACTGCATTTCTACCAATATTTCTACCTTCTTCTATTCCTTCTGTAGAATTCACACAACTACACATTGTATAATCCTGAAATATACAAAAAACAGTATAAGTTTCTTTATTAACTACATATTGTATAATCCTGAAATATACAAAACACAGTATAAGCTTCTATCTTAACTACATATTGTATAATCCTGAAACACACAGATAACAGTATAAGTTTCTTTATTAACTACATATTGTATAATCCTGAAATATACAAATAACAGTATTAGCTTCTATCTTAACTACATATTGTATTATCCTGAAATACACAGATAGCAGTATAAGCTTCTATCTAAACTACATATTGTATAATCCTGAAATATACAGATAACAATATAAGTTTCTATTTAAATTACATATTGTATAATCCTGAATATACAAATAACAGTATTAGCTTCTATCTAAACTACATATTGTATAATCCTGAATATACAAATAACAGTATTAGCTTCTATCTTTACTACATATTGTATGATCCTGAATCTGAAATATACAAATAACAGTATTAGCTTCTATCTTAACTACATATTGTATAATCCTGAATATACAAATAACAGAATAAGCTTCTATCTAAACTACATATTGCATAATCCTGAAATATACAGATAACAGTATAAGCTTCTGTCTTAACTACATATTGTATAATCCTGAATATACAAATAATAGTATTAGCTTCTATCTAAACTACATATTGTATAATCCTGAATATACAAATAATAGTATTAGCTTCTATTTAAATTACATATTGTATAATCCCGAATATACAAATAACAGTATAAGCTTCTATCTAAACTACATATTGTATAATCCTGAATATACAAATAATAGTATGAGCTTCTATAGCTAACTACACACTAATACTTATGCGACATTTAGGGGTAGGGATCACATTTTCATGGGTTGATTTGTTTGAGTCTTGAATATATGTAAATAGTCTTCAGAAGTACTAGAAAGTACTAAAATCGCAAAAAATTATCCCAAACTAGGAATTTCTTTTCCTACTTCTAAAAATGTCTTTTCTAAATATAACAGTGCTTCAAGAAAAGGCGACTTCTCCTTTTAACTTTCAAAGGTGGAAATTTTGAGCTGTGAACACCATTACTCATTGGCTTAGCTAAAAAATTCCAGTTTCTCAGACTAAAAGTATAATTGTTAAAAAAAATGGCACACCTATCCCTTTAAGTAATAGAGTTTTAACCTCTGATACAATTAAAATACTTGGGAAAGTTTTCTTAAGTTTGTTGTGTAGGCTTATATCAACAAATTCTCTTTAGGTGTGGGCACACAAACAGTGGGTGATCTTATTAAAATTATAATTGGATGAAAAGTAGGGCCATTATTTTCAAAATTTACAAAAATGGTAGTCCGAAACATATGTCTCTATTCCAGTGTCTGATAGCTATTTGGACAGATGTAATCTGGTGTAGAGACAAAAATAATAAGCCCTGTTAAATGGGGACTTTCCGCATCTCCGCAGGTGCAGGGGTTTTAAGCCTATTTACATGTTTTAAACCTACTTTAACCAGGTATATTTGGAAAGATAAACATTTTTTGTAGTTGAGTCATTCCATCATTTTCTCCCTACACCATTTATGTCTTAAAGGCAATTCAATATTATGTTACAGAAAACGCATTTTTGGAGATGTGGAAAATTCCCATTTATTCTTCTGACTCTACTCCAGCTGACAACTGTTAAAATATTCATCAGAGGCTGGAATAGAGGCAGATGTTTCGAACTACAAGAATGGTTGCTTGCCTATGGCACTCCCCTTTTTTTTTTTTGAGTGTACCATCCCTTAATTCAAAGTTAATCAGTCAACTGGATGTGCAAAATGTAATTTTAGACCTTATTTTAATTCTAAACAATCTGAATAAATTAATCTATTGTCAATTCAATGCCCAATATACTCTTTGAGTTCTTTCAAATTTAATATTCATCTCAAAAAATTAGTTGCTAAATAGAATCAGTGGACCAATTACCTTATATATGCATTGAGATATTGTTTGATAACCATACGATGTTTCAAAATCCTAAACAAACTAGTGAAATAACATAGTATACCTTATGTGATAATGATATAAATAACATTAATAAACAACATGAAATAAATAACATGACATTAAAAATGTGATAAAAATAACATAATATAAAGAATGTGAAATAACCCACATTCATTAATAATATGATACAAATAACATGATATAAATAATATGCTTAAAATAACATAATATAAGTCATGTAATAATGACATTAATACATGATATAAAAAATTTGATCAAATAACATGATATACATAATGTGATAATGATATGAATAACATGACATAACATACATAATGTAATAATGATATGAATAACATGACATAAATAACATAACATACATAATGTGATAATGATATGAATAACATGACATTAATAACATAACATACATAATGTGATAATGATATGAATAACATGACATAAATAACTTAATATGATAACTAATGTGATAATGATAAATGTATCATGAAATTTTAACATGATATAAATAACAAGATATAAATGGCAAAAATGAAAGTAGGACTTACAGAGGAATTGACCACAGCTGATCTTTGTTTACAGCCTGCATGACATGGTGAAAAATACAACAAGCCGTCTGTATCACAGACTGGATTATAGATATTGGTAGTACAATGGCAGTCTTTATTACATTCACTGGTAAGATCAGGTATGTAGACACTCTCATCTTGTATTAAAAATTCTGGACTAAAAGATTGAAAAAAGATTTGTTGTTAATGGTATAAGTTGACAAATTGAGTGAAAAAACGGATCTAGAAGTTTTGTTTTGTGTATTTTTTACAGATTACACTACACTATTTTATGACTACAATCCCCATCAATATCTGAGAAAATTATGTCCTTTTCTGACTCAACAGATTTTATGATTTTATTATAACTAATGCAACATTCAATACCTGATTTTTAACAAATCAAAAACTTAGAGACTGTTCAGGCAATATTCACGACTTAATAAGTTATGCAGACGAAATGTTACGGTGTTGATATAGTTTTATATTTCAATTACTTTGTCTAGCTCTTTACCAACTTTTGTTGAACATCTTTGTACATAGCCAACAAAGAAGAACCACATTGAAGTTTCTGCATTTTTGAACAGGGTCAAGGTGAAGGTATAGAAGTAGTGAAAATTGGTGTCAACGATTTTTCTCCATTTTCACTTTCCAAAGCAGTAAATTTTTTTGTGTTTTTAAGAGATATCTATTGTTTTTTTGTTACATTTAAAATTTTGAGACAGAAAAACATCAACATTTTGTATCAAAAACAAATAAACCCTAAACCTTAAAAATCCTTAACCATTTCAAAGAAATATCGTGATATATACCCATATTGTTATATATTAATGCTTAATATCATATCAACTTGAACCAATATCGCCCAGTCCTATAATAAGGTGAAGAATGGAGACTTGATAATGAGTTACCTGATAGGATAAGGTGCATTAATACCAGCTATATCTTCAGTAGAACATCTTATCCATAAAATAGAACATCCAAATAATGACACCACCATTGCCAATATACATAATCTTAATGTTCCTCTTATATCTAGTTTTAATTTCCTTGTCACAAAACCACCCAGAAACTGACCAGCTGCAGCACTTGGTACCACAGCAATACCTGAAATCATTAATTAATAGTTTGACCTTTTTTAAACTGGATATAGATCTAGTCTAGGGCTATTCGAAACTAAGTTGTTTTGCCTACGTGTTTGAAGGAAGAAGACAGAATATTCAGGCATTTGCTTTTGTTTAAAGGGGCATTCTGGGTTTTTTCGTAGGTCAGAAAATTTTTGCTTAAATTTATGAAAACTATACACCAAAACCTATAAAACTGTGCCCCAAAAGTTTTCTAAAAGTTTAAACTAAAAAAATCCTGTCTTTAATTTTTTATCACTAAAATTAATTAAAATGTTTACGTTAAACTTTTAAGTTAGTTATGCTCTTTGAGAGGTGCCTGAAAACTACTGTTTTTTGTAATTTCATAACAGAAAAGATGGAAGTTTTTGTTTAACTGTTTTGATATGATATATTTTTTGTCCTGCATTAGAAATGGTTAAAAGATTCATATTTCCATGTGTACAAGGTATCAAGAATTTTGCCAATCATAAGATAGAGATTGCCAAAACAAACAGAAAACATTTTAGACATTTCAGGAGTACAAACCTGTATAAATGGCAGCTAATGATGCTGAGACGCGAAATTCCATTTCAATGACTTTTGGTAGAAAGGTTGCACTGCCCCCTATAATAGCTCCCTCAGTTAACATACTTAACGCCAGAAAGACAAAACATGGATTCTTTAGTAACTTGGTTACTACTTTCATAAAATGTTTTAAAGATCTTTTGATTTTGACAGGATTAGTCTGAGACTTCTCGGCACCATAGGCTTCTGATATTCTGGTTTCTCTCACATGTTTGGCAGCTAGAAATAATAGAATAATAATATCAGATTTAATGTACACATACTATTTTTGGCGCTATAATCAAGCAAAGACAAATGAGCAGATCTAAACCAGCCCACATTATTTTTGACAAATCTGGTTTTTATAGTTTCAATTACTATTTAACTATTGTCCGAGCAAAGTAAAATATTTTTTTTATTTTTTCAATATTTTTGATATCAGTCTCAAAATAGTACTGTTAGTCTTAGAATGTCTTAATTGCATTGGTAAAAATATAATCTTTCATAAGTTTACATTGAAAAGAAACACATTTCTCTCCTTAAATTTCAACCCTAAAGAGTCAAAAATTATGTCTGAAAATTGTCCTATGTAAAAACAAATTTTGAAGACATAATGTGTGCTTATGTGTATATTTTCATCAAAGCAAAGTCATTCTAAGACTGACAGTACTACTTTGAGGCTGATATTCCAATTCTCTTAAAAAAAACATTTACTTTGCGCAGACAATAATCGCAAATTTTGAGGCTGAAACCAAAAAAATAGAATGTTTATGTTTAAACTCTAAATTGCCTACTGTTGGGCATCAATGTCTTTTCTCAACTACACATTTAAGAAGATAGAGTGAATAACAGGAGACATTGGCCATGATGTCATCGAGGTGGTTTGCATATAGCACATGATGCACAACATTAACAGTTGTAAGATTGGTTTGTCATACTCAAGTAAACTATGTAAATTTTACTTGAAGACTATCAAGCAACAAGCAACCTTGACTTCAGATGACATCTTGAGTTCTTTTTGTTCAGATATTTTAAAAGCAAATTTGGGGATTTAATTTTAAATACTGCTGTTATTTTAATATACTTCACATCCAAAATTTGAATCACTGCGTCTAAAAACTCTTTTATTCCTGTCTTATGAAATGGAACTGGAATATTTTGCCAAAAAAATTTGAAAGCACTACCCACAAACGTAGTGGTAGTCTGAAATAAAACCTAAGTTCCATTTGTTGAAAATATTTCAGGCTAAACAATAAAAGCAAAGGCTCAAAATGTATAATAAAAAATGGCACAAAGAATGATGAGCAATAAAAAAGAGTGTTCAGGAAAGTGCAAGAGAAAAAAATAAGAAAACTCACATGGTAATTCTTTACCAAAGAGAAATAATGGTAAGGCTACAATAAGATTCAATATGGCTGCCACAAGAAAACCTATCCACCATGCTCCCACCCATCTGGGGTCCTCTGGTGTAACATTTAAACTACAACAAAAAGTTAGTCATGGAAAGATGATAGAAGTCCATGTAGTCTACATGTTACCTATAAGCTTTATCTGCTTATAGAGATCAAGTTGAGCTATCTGTGTCACTTTTGAGACATCACGTTCCCATATAATTAAATAAAACTGCACAATTCAGACTGCCATCACTACAAATGAATCCCCTACACTTCATCATGCAGTTTCTGATCACGTATTTATATCAATAATTCCTGCATGTGTCACCTGACTAAACAGTCCCTTTTGTTAAATTGTAGGAGAACCAGAACCCAACTCAATTGAAGTGACACGGATAGCAGAAATTGAGCTCTATAAGGGTGAAAAGTAAATATCTAGATGACTATATGCATATTAAGAAACAAATTTGCTATTTCTAAATCACCATCCTGAAAAGATTTCAAAAATTTCTTCTAATTTTTGTGTATGTGTTTTGGGGGCATTTTTTATCTGTTTTTTTAGACATTTTTATCTGTTTTTGGGACAATTTTATCTGTTTTTTGGGACATTTTTTTTCTTTTTTTTCTTTATAATATTCCTATTTCCTAATGTTGTCCCTTAAATTTCAGATTATAAACTTTAAAGCGGCTCTTCTATTGCAAATTAATTCTGGGATAGTAGTAGGCTTGATATAATATAACTGTTCTAGTACTGACGGTAAAATGGAACTAATATTTGACTTCTATTTTGACACCATATATAAAATATAAAAGACTTTCTGCTTGTAGAATTGAAGTCACAATTCACAAGTTGTTAAAATGTTTGATTAAAGGGATTGTAAGGAAGTTTTCTAAAATTCTTTTGTGTACCAGAGACACTGAAGTGCACCATACCAATTTCAAATCAGACATCTGTGGTTCCTGCAATTCCATTAAAACTAAGCGTTTGGATGTCAATGATCACGAAGTTTGCTTGTATTACATAAGGCCCTAAGCAATTAGTGACATCATCAAACACTAAATTTTAGTGGAATTATCACCAATGGATGAACATTATTGATAATAAACAATTTCACCAAATTTTGTCCAAAGGTGTTTTCATGAACAAGTGCAATAACTCATACTAAATATTTTTCAATATTTCTGATTTTCTATAGGGTACATACTAGGGTTCATTACAAGCACTCACACAAAGTATCATTAAAATCAGTCAAGAATTGTGCCCTCTGGAGTGTTTACGAGCAATTGTGGACAGACTGACCAACTGACAGAAACGTTATCACCATAATATGCGTCTTTGTATTATAGGACCCCATCATAAAAGAATGATATTGTCCAATTCTTCAACATACAATGTTTTGATAAAAGATGCTCACAGTACAAACAAGTTTTTCAAACAAAGAAATGGCTACTTAAAAGTCTACTATAAATTCCCAAAATGCAACACACTGCTTCAGTGCTATTATTATTATTATAGTACAGGTTAGAAAAAGTAATTTTGAAAATCCTTTACTGCCCAATTGGAGAATCCCATAACACTGTGAAAGAACTGAACGAAATCAAAGATTGCCTCATTGATATCATTGGTGCTGAGAAAAAAAAAAAAAAAAAAAAAAAAAAATTTCAACCTAGGCCATGAAGTCGTCACAATTAGTCCAAGTCAGTCTTATTTTATTCACCAGTTGACATCGCGGTGTTTTTTTCCACTAGTTGAAAAACTGTGTTATTTTTAGCTTAGCTTTCTGAAAAGGTCATTTTAAGGTTCATAAAGCAAGATTTATTCAACAATCAAGCTTTATTCATGCATTGAAATATGTATATTAGACTATTAGTGTCATAAATTAAATGCATTCCTTTGAAAGTTGATTTAATAGTTTAACTGAATACATTCAAGTATGTTCTGCATTATTTATTTAATATATAAAAAATCATATATAGTTCAAAACATTGTAGAGAATTTGATTGCCTGCTAAAATTCTGACAGCTAATTATAGGTGTGTATCAGTTTTCATGTAATACTTGGAGTTTGTGTCCTATGTCAATTTTATTCAAAACACGATATTTATCTTACGATGGCTCACATACGACATATTTCACTTTTTATTTTGAATTAAAAACTTGAATTTTCAACAAGATGATAATTGATGAAATTTGAATTAAAAACTTTTTTTTGCGTTTAATACAAAATGGAGGCTGGTCATATGGTCAGTTTTTAATTAAAAATTACACAAATTATCACATAATTTTCAACTAGGAAAAAAATATTTATAATCGAAGTGAAAAATTAAAGTTTTCAATTAAATATTACATGAATAATCAACTTATTTTCACCTAGTTAAAGTTTTTAATTATAAATTACAGGAATTATGAACTAATTTTCAACTAGGTTAAATAATTATAATCGAAGTGAAAATTAAAGTTTTCAATTAAATATTACATGAATAATCAACTTATTTTCACCTAGTTAAAGTTTTTAATTATAAATTACAGGAATTATGAACTAATTTTCAACTAGGTTAAATAATTATAATCGAAGTGAAAATTAAAGTTTTCAATTAAATATTACATGAATAATCAACTAATTTTCACCTAGTTAAAGTTTTTAATTATAAATTACAGAAATTATGAACTAATTTTCAACTAGGATAAATAATTATAATTGAAGTGAAAATTAAAGTTTTCAATTAAATATTACATGAATAATCAACTAATTTTCACCTAGTTAAAGTTTTTAATTATAAATTACAGGAATTATGAACTAATTTTCAACTAGGATAAATAATTATAATCGAAGTGAAATTAAAGTTTTCAATTAAATATTACATGAATAATCAACTAATTTTCACTTAGTTTAAGTTTTAAATTATAAATTACAGAAATAATGAACTAATTTCAACTAGGATAAATAATTATAATCGAAGTGAAAATTAAAGTTTTCAATTAAATATTACATGAATAATCAACTAATTTTCACCTAGTTAAAGTTTTTAATTATAAATTACAGGAATTATGAACTAATTTTCACCTAGGATAAATAATTATAATCGAAGTGAAAATTAAAGTTTTCAATTAAATATTCTATGAATAATCAACTTATTTTCACCTAGTTAAAGTTTTTAATTATAAATTACAGGAATTATGAACTAATTTTCAACTAGGAAAAAATAATCATCATCTAGGTAAAAATTAAAGTTTTTAAATTTCACGAAGTAAAATTTAAAGATTTTGGTTCAAAATAAAAAGTGAAATATGTCATATATGAGCCAACGTAATATCAGGTTTCTGAAACTCCTCTAATTATCAGAGCCAGATGCATTTGGAGAGTTGACAGAAGAAGAAAAAAACGTAAAATGTCTTGCCGATCTTTTCTTTAAAAAAAAGTAAGGCGTTTTGACATGCTATTCAAGTCATTTTTTAAGCTATCATGCTCTAACTACAATAATATTAATTATAATGAAAGAATATTAAGATTATCTGTCCTCCATTCAGCCGCCATATTTGTTGAAGAAATATGGCCGCCACACACACAAAGTAAAATCCGGGTAAGACACGCCCATCAATCAGTTAATATCTCTCCACCTCGAACTATCAACATAGAATTTCATCACTTACAGTGAAACCAACTGACCTTGAATCTAGCCAACCTTATCTGTCTATCCAAACAATTGAAATGAAATGAAATGAAATGAATGGAGTTTTACGTCCTACTTTTCTGCACCATGTGGGCTAATGACGACGGACAACACCATGCAGGGTGCAATGACGGAAATTTTGCCAGGATAGCGGCATTAGCCTGCTCTTTTTCGATTTCCAACTGTCGAGGGATCTTTAATGAGCACACGGGGCCTCGGTTTATTGTCCCATCCGAACAACTAAACCCTTTTTCCATGTCAGCCCCTCGTACTTCAAACAATAGAGGTAAAATCAAAATTTCACGTTTGTAAACAAAATGAGGATTATTCTTGAAATACATTATAATAGATGATTGTTTGAATGGGCATATTTTCATAATTCATATTCTTGATCGTGAAATTTTACCAATTGCCTTTTATGATATATTGTGACTATAAACTTTACAAACCAAAATATTATACCGTACCACATACTTCATAAACATACACGTTTCTTATTTGGAGAATTATTGCCTTGCTCATATCAATAAGCTAAATATTGAGTAAGATTCACTCGTTCATTTCAGACGATTTGACATGTGACACAGTTCTGAAAGAATGCTATATATTATCATAACCACTACTCTCTCCTTCAATAACATGAGCAAAATATAATCATACACATTAAAAAAATTAGGGTGGGGTCCGTGGGAGCTGCGCCCAAGCAAGGCAGATTTGATTAAGCCCAGCCAATCCTTCTTCATTTTGATACATTATGAGTACAAAGTCTGAACCCCAGAACCAATTCATTCCTGGCGACTGAGCTGTGTATTGTGCTTGAGTAATAAGAAGAATGTAAATCAGTTCAACTACAATAACTACGTAACAACTAGAGTTACTTCCCATATACACCTAACAGACTACTATGTATCATATAAATACTTACTTGTATACAATAATTACAATCTTTTTTGGTCATGTATGTATAAAAGAGAATTGGTATTTTGGAAGAAAAATGCGAAAGTGGATACATTCCATCATCATTTGATGTCATTGATAAAACAACACCGGAGAAAAACGTAAAAATGGCTTATTGCAAGAAGTAGATAGCTTCAGATGCAGTGTGGAATTATGTTACCTTATTTTAGATGAATTTTCGCTCATAAACATTTCTTGACATATGAATAACCAAAACACATTATCAAATTGGCAAGTGAACCAGTTAAAAGCTTCAGTTTTATGTTTATTAGTGAGATTTTTGATAAGAATATTTTTTTTTATTTTGTTAATGAACAGTAGCTGTCCTTGACCTTAATCCCATCAATTTCTATGAATCACGTTTTCCTCAAAATCTTTTCAAATCAATAGCAAAACCAGAATACAGATAATTATCAAAATCACACTACTAGCAAGTCACATCTACAATTTCGAACTTAATTAAGATATCATTTTACATGTATGTCAATAATGAGTATCAATTTTCATCAAAAACAGACATAAACTGTTGTCTATACCAGCCAAATTGTAGGCAATGGCCTATATACACCAAATAAGATAGCTTGCCAGGCAAGATAATATACGCCCACTGGCAGCTTTGATTTTAAATAAAAATATTTAGCAGTACAGTAACAATCACCAGTATGAAATATTCAACCTTCAGTCATACACTTCTTTTGAACTCTTTGAGGCGATACTGAATAATATTACCAAGTTTCATCAAAATCTGTCAAGAATTGGACCTTCTGGTGTGTTTACAGGCTAAAACTTGAACTTGTTTTTAAGAACAGGGGCAATAATATTTTTCATCCTTGGGTGTTTACAAACACTCTGTCAATAATTATACCTTCTAATGTGTTTAAGGGCTAAAAATGGAAAATGTGTTTAAGAACAAGGGCAATAACTCATACTAAAAATTTTCGATTTTTCTAATTTTCAATAGGTTCATCCTTGGGTCATGACAAAATCTCACACCAAGTTTTGTCAAAATCTGTCAATAATTGAACCTTCTAGAGTGTTTACGAGCATTTCAAAAGCAAGGGCAATAACTCATACTAATTTTTTTTTCTAATCAAAATCTATACCTCATTAATCATGACACTATAATTTAAATTTAGTAATGAAGGAATAATGAATTAAGATTGAAAAAGTGCTTATACAAAGAACTTTGTGCTTCACAACAAATTAGCTTATTGATAAAATAAGTGTAGAAAAAAAAGAAAAATCTCAATAACTTAACATAAAGTGTGTATACCTGCTTGTGTCCATAACATCAAAATCTACATACAAATCTAAGAATTGTCCACCAATAATATAACCTATACCTGGTCCCAATATAGAACAGCAATATAATATACCTGCAAATAGATATATATCAAAGACAATTCTAAAACACCTAAGCACATTCTGCAATTAAGCTCAGCAATTTGTTATCATGTTCAAACTATACTTTATGAAGAGCTTTGCAAAGCACTAATGTTGAAAATGCCAGTCTAAAATAAATAAGAATTTTACATCCACCTAGTCTAGTCCTGATTAGGATGGACACAGAAATGTCATGTTGTGTGCAATGAGGGAAAGTTAGCCAGGAAGTTAACATTAGCTTAATCTGTAACACAGTCTGTTACAGTGCTAGAATCTCCATGTCATTTGCTTGGTTTAGTTGAAAGTTCTAGTCTCAAGCTGCTATTATTCCAGTTCACACTGCTGCAAACGGCCACGGATAGCCTCGGAAATAGCCATGCCAAGGACCCTTCTAATGGGTAGAGATAATATGGGAAAGATCAATGCCAAGAGACTTGGCTAAGAACCAGCAGGTACAAAGGATCCTTAGTTGTAAACCTAAGTTGTTATCCTTGTAAATAATGTTTGTCTCCCTTCTGTAGGTTGGAATCCTATAAAGCTCATACACACAGTATGGTGGTGTTTAATTGGAGAGTTCTGTACAGGTTCTGTCTGTTACAATTCTGTTCTCAATCAAACAGTACTGGAGAAATATCGTGGGTGACCGCATGAAACCCCATATTTGGTCATTTTGACTTTTTGGTACCATTTGAAAGCTTGTAAAAGCGCACATCTTTTGATCAAAACGTCTTATTCCTAGCTTGATTGTAAATAACTCATAAAACCACTAATTAAATAACACGTATATAAACCGTCAGATTTAAAACCTTGTAAAATATGACATTATACGAGGTTCAATGTTTCTTTTCTGTGGATGAAAAAGAATAACCTTGTATACTGTACTATTATACGAGTTATTGGTTAAATAGGTCATAATTATATGAGGTTTAAATTTTCAAAGAATAAAAAGATAGTAACAAGTAGCTTTTTTCTCAAAAACTTATTTTGCGCCATATATCATCAAAGGAGGTTTCAAGCGGTCACCCATGATATGTCACATTCTAAATTGTCCCATCTATTTCTTACTCCACCATTTTAACTCATTCTAAACCTGTTACCAATTATTTCTATTGAATGTTCGGTTGATTCCATGAATACCAAACGCCCAGAACTCACCAATCAACCTACCAAAAAGTCCTAACTTACCTATATATAAAGGTGTATTAGAAGATGATACACTGTCATCCAGTAGAGAAATTCCAACAGTATAAATGGTGGTTCCTCCAACACCATGTAACATTTGACCCAAGACAAAAACATATAAATAATTGGATAGATGGGTCTCTTCTGTTCGACAAACTTCAGTTGAATTATTTTCTGAAATACAAAATAAACCTTTAGCAAATGCCAAAAAAACCTAACACCCGTCTGAACAGTTTTCAAGCTAAGAGAATTTGCCACACTATTGTCCATTGCATGCAAACGGCAATCAATCACACATGATATAGCATATTTGAAAAATAATTTTTGTGGTCTTTACGTGCGTCAGGAAACATCAAACAAAGACAACTATTGCTATGTCCTATATCAGGGACACTGATATTGATTGAGTTTCCACTGAGAATTGCCAGCCCTATGTTAGCTAAGAGGCAGTTTGTTGCCGAACGCATTGTGTTAACACTGAGTTTAACTGGTTCTCCAACGATTTCAGCCTTGATCACAAAGTGGCACATTATTGACAACTCATGATGTACAAGACTACTGTTTAGACCCGTTAGAAATGCAGTAGACTGGAAAGACCAGTTTGCCGAATGACATAAAGCTGGCTTTTTGCGTTTCCACTGAGTGAAGTGAAAGTCGGCTTTAAGCTAACTTTCATTTAGCCCGCGATAAATTGGAAAACACAAAAAGGTTTCGGTTCCCAAAAGCCAGCTTTTCCCCCTCAGTGGAAACGCAGTTAATAATTTCGCACTAATTTGCAACATTCCAATTTTCAATAAGACATCTATGGGTTTCCTAGACTAAACTAAGCATTTTATGATGTAGCTATCGGAAACACTCTTCGTTCCATTTATCAGCTTTTGTGATAATGTGATCATATTTGATTAAGCATTTTTATAATTACAGAAACCACAGACAGCTGACTGAAAATGGGAATTGTGCAAATTGAAGCCATAAATGCTCTTGACACCATTAAGCTTTAAAGGAATACTACCTATTACTTAACAGGTGCCATGACTAAAGAATAGAATCTCTATATGAGACGTTACATCTATTTAACTAAATAAAAACGCTTCTAAGCATGTTTCAAAATTACTTAGTTTGATGAATTATTACTTAGTTTTATGGATTTATTAGATTATAGAGGGATTCTGTTGTATGGTTTTGACACCAAGTAAGTCCACTGATGATCAAATACTCATTTTGGCTAATGAAGAAGATACATACCTTCATGACAGAGCATGATCACTCTTTCACCAGCTTCATACAGTCCAGTAGAGAAATGAGGTATAGACATAACACAGGAACCAAGAACCATAAACAACCCTGCTGTAGCTAAAAACTTGGCTTTATTTTTACCCGAACCAAAATAGCTAATTCCTAGTCCTAAAACAGCTGCACTTATATCATAGGCACTTGATATCATTCCCACCCTTGCACTTGAGAGATTGAATCTTCTCTCTAGAGAGGTAGTATTGACATTATTTATACCATTAACAACAAAACCTGAAAAAATAAATTACGATAGTTAAACTTTGAGAATTTTTTTTTGCGTTTGACAATTTATTGGGCTTAAAACTAGCTTACAGCCAGCTTTCACTTAACCAGTGGAAATGCAAAAAGCCAGCTTTATCTCGTTCAGCAATAGGGGGCGGTCTATTGCATTTCTTACTGGTCTAAACAGTAGTCTTGTACATCATGAGTTGTCAATAATGTGCGACTTTGTGATCTAGACTAAAGTCGTTGGGGAACCAGTTAAACTCAGTGTAAACACAATGCGTTCGGCAACTGGCTCTTAGCTAACTTAGATCTAACTTTATTTTACAATTCTCAGTGGAAACTCTGTTAGTATCAGTGTCCCTGATATAGGACATAGGAATAGTTTTACTTTAACAATTTTCAGTGGAAACGCAGTTATTAACCCAATTCAAATTTTAGACAGAAATTCTGGTTTCATTTCATTTCTATAATTAAAGGAACCAAGCAATTCTAAAAAACAGGAACCACAAACATCTGATGGAAAATGGAAAGCATAAATAGTCCAAATACACACAAAATTTCTAGAAAATCATACAACCACTTTGACCTCTCTGAAATGGTCTGGAAAATCAAGAAAACCCTGTCACTATCCATCTTGCTCATATCAAGGTATATAAAATCTATACGAGTGACTTTGAAATCGAAGGATATTTTGCAGGGGTTTCTCAAGGTTTCACTGATGTTACCTTGGTTTAGATTAAGACATAGAATTGTTATTGACCAGCCATTTTTTCTGTTTGAAAGAGATTTTAAAGAGATTTTCTAAATTTGTTATGTATATCAGAGACACTGATAACAACCATTCACTTGCACCATTCAAATTTCAATAAGGTGTCTGTAGCTCCTGCAATTCCACTAAAAAGTGTTTGATGATGTCTTTCAAGGTTTTAGTGGAATTGAATGTGGACTCTGTGTCCCTGATGCACATAAAAGACAAAGCAATATTTCAATGGTTGGGCTTTAATATGTTAGTGGAGCCGCGGTGGCTAACCTGAAGGTCCAGTGTTCAGTGTCTAGGCATTAGGATGGGACAATAAACTGAGGCCCTGTGAGCTACAGGCTGTGTATGTTAAAGATCCCTCGAAAGTTGGAAATAAAAAAAAAATAGCAAGCTAATGCTGCTATGCTGGCAAAATTTCCCTCATTGCACCCTGCATGGCATTGCATGTCTTGATTAGCCCACATGGTGCAGAAGAGTAGGATGTAAAACTCCATTCATTTCATTTTATTAACCAATCCTCTATTAAATATTTAAAATCTATTGAGAATCTCTATGAAATGACCTAGCATATTTATTAAATAAGTTTACAAAGTTATAATATTAATTATATAATGAATAATATTTAAATAAAAAATATTGCTAGTAACTTATGTGTGAAATAATTGTTATATTACTTATAACTATATATATGAACTCAATCTGATAACAGAAACCTGCCCTAGTCCTGAAAACAATTCTCAGTAGCAATGAACATCCATGTTAGATTTTTGGAGCATGTCTAAGACTTGAATGGACTACATTTTTTAAACATAATGAGAAGAAAAACTTCTTGAGCAATTCTCAGCATTTCATTGTCGCATTAAAGGGACAGATGTGCCATTTCCTTGACCAATCATACCTTAGTCTCAGTAACAGGAATTTTTTTAGCTAAATCAATCATTAATAGTTTTCAAAGTTCATCGTTTAAATTTGAGCCTTCAAATCTATTTGTGTTCAGAATTATCTGTGTTTGAAAGTTAAAAAGACGAATTGTCTTTTCTTGAGACATAAAGACATCTATTGAAATAGGAAAAAAAATCCTGGCTTGATATATTTTTGAAGAAATTATGTGATTTTTGTACATTTATAGTACTTCTGAAGACTGTTTACATATATTCAAGACTAAATTCAACCCTTTAATACTTGTCTGGAAGTGAAGGCATTTTGTTAAGACCTCAGTTATACTTCATTCAAAATCAAGCCACGAAGACTAAGATCTAAGTTCATGTGAATTAGAATTTGAAGGAAGTTAGATTCATTCCATGTTCATAGAATACATTTAACAGGAAAATTGCACATTTTTATGGAAATTTGTTAAAAATAACCCATATAATTAGTGTCATAATTCTACACTTAAGATAAATGATGGCTCATTGCTATCTTGATAGGTAATTTGTATGGTATGTAAATATGTTCTAGCATGTTATCATTATGATAATTGTACATGTTATGATATCATAGGACTATATCAATATTAATATAATAACATAACACTGATTGGGACTGACTGAAAACATGTTAAAATAAAGATATCATCACCATATGCAGTTGTTAAACATCAAAAATATGTAAATAGTACCGAACTCTCAAGGCACATTGGCAACATAAACTGTAATATAATTATTACAAAATATCCTGATTCATTGATAGCAGAGTTAAAGCCTACACAAATAAAACCAAATAATGTAACCTGGTGTGTTTAAATGATAGGCTTTCCATCAATAATGCCCCTAAGCACACTTCTCTAAACAAAAGTTCCGAACTTGTCTCAAAGTGTAAACATGACAAAAAGTTCTGCTTGTCAATTTTCAATATGAAAATAGGTCAGGTGTCTGAAATCGCACAGTGTGAAACTTTGAGTAATAACAACATGTTATCTTAAGTTCTGTTTTAATATTTCTAATAAAATAACATAACTTTTTTATTCATATCATACAGATTGCTTTTATACAGGAATGTTTCTAGAAAATGACTGAGGAATAGGGCAAAAATGTGAGGTGAAGAGCATCTGGGGGCAAATGATTTTTGAGTATTTAGAGGGCATAATCTGAGGGGAGGGGGGAGGGCGGACTGGTTGGGGTTCTAGCCAACTGCTTTTATCTCTTAAAGGGACAAGTGGGCCATTTTCTTTTTTCACCAATCACAATTTGTCTCAGAACTTAGCTAAGCTAATCAGTAAATGTGTTCACAGCTCACCATAGAAATTTGAGCCTTCAAATCCATGTGTGTCCCTTTAAATTATATCATATAGCTTGCATGTAATTTGTTTTGTTTTTATTTGGTCAGAAACATTTTAATTGCGACCAATGGTTGTGTAAATGTTAGCCTATACATTTATAAGCTTACATCAGTAGGCTTTTTACTTCAAATCACATCTTTCAAAAATGTATCCATTCTGAAGACTTCCATTCTGTTATTTTTGACTAAAAAACATTTTTGTTTGTTTTTACGAAGAAAGTGTCTATGACAAGTAATTTGATTGGCTTAGATTTTCCTACAAAGATTTTAGGGCTAATTTTGATTGATATATCTATGAATATGTCATTCCCTCACTTGTATGACCACGTCCTTGAGGAAGTATGACCAATAGGGTTATAGTTTGGACATGATGGGAGGATGGCATAATGCCATGGCACCAGTCTAGATGTTAGATAATATAACAGAAGTAAATTATGTCAATCTATATTGAGAAATATCAATATAATATAACATAAATGAAGGATATTAGGGTAGGAAAGAAAGAATCAATAGTATTTATAGTTATCTATATATAGACAAATCTAATCAAGGAATTTTTAGCTTTAGTATAGCCACTAACTTTACAGTAGTCCAATACAACTAAATTTTATACAGTCGTCCAAAATCAAGTTTGTTTCTAAATCAATTTCACTGTCTGTTACTCAAATACTTATAAGCAGAAATCCTGATCTCTAGAATCGATCTCCAATTACCCCCTTTGATTTCAATCTTAAATTCTGTTTGGAGGTAGTTTAAAACACTGAAACTATGTCAGTATACCAGTATATGTATGTAAACTATGCAAGGCAAAAGGGACAGATGCGCCATTTTAGGGGGTTGATTTTAAGCTTGAATTCATATGAAAATAGTCTTCAGAAGTACTAGAATTGCATAATTATTTCAAAAATACTTCAGACTATGAATTTTACTCACTTTTCCTATTTATGTCTTTCTATATAATGATGAGTCGTCATTTTAACATTCAATCGCGGATAATTCTGGACACAAAAGGCTCAAATTTCAACGATGAGCTCTGAACACTATTGCTGATTAACTCAGCTATAAAGTTCCTGTTTCTGAGACTAAAAAATGATTTGGGGGGATAAAAAAATGGCATACCTGTCCCTTTAAGTCAAAATTTTCAAACTGGGGTGTGGAGCAATCGAGAAACATTTCGCCAAAAATAGTGAGGAAAAATAAAACCTGTACATTTTCAGAAATTTAAGATGTGGGAATAAGCCTAGATTTTAGTCACACCTGTTAGAAATTTTATAATTTAGATTTTGACATAATTTTGGCATCTAAAATAAATTCAAAAACATTTTCACTAATAGATTTCAGTGTGGCATAATTCTTCTGACATTTTGACTAGGATAGAAAGTTTCAAAATGTACCTTGAAGTGGGTCAAGGAACAAGATTTTGCTATATACAATATTAACATCAGAACCTTTTTCATGATTGTCACACATATAATCTTATGAATTTACGACGGAAGCAATCACTCCATTGAACAAAGCAAAAATAACATGGCTAACAAAGCAAATCCATAAGAAGGACTGGGTATCAATTATCAAATTGAGATCGATTATCAACGACATTCTACTGATGAATAATCAATATCATAAGTGAGAAATCTTCTATATACTAAATAACAATCTGGTCCTTATTCTTAATTCCATGGGTTAATTTTGTGACATAAAAGTATTGTATTGCTTTGATGAGTTATTATAAGTTAATGCAGGTAAATGATGTGCTGAAGGGAAACTATGTGCAAGAAATTATGACTTGTTAACAGATACACAGGAGAAAATATAACGTTGACATTTAATCAATTAAGCTTATGTATTTCGATGATCAATAATCGAAATTATAAATTCCTAGCGATGATAATCGATTATTGAACTCAGTAACTCTATAAGTTGTATCTATAATTATAGCTGATATCATGTTTTATCAGCCCATGTAGCAAATAATTTGACAAGTATATCCCTTTAAAAATTAGTGAGTCAGTAAAATGTCAATGGGTGGTAAAAAGTTTTAATCTATTTTAACTCTATTATTCACAGTATTTTGAAAATCTAACATTAAATTAACTGTCATTATGGCACGTATCCAATTTTATATAGTTTTACCTGCATCTCCTGAGAATAACGTCAAATTTGCTAGGCTAAATCTTTATATTTATTAGATTTCACATAGAACTTGTGTAATACTGAGAAACAAGCAGAATTTATTGTTTAAACTTCTAGTATATGTTATCTATCTATTACGGGAGCTGCAGTGGCTCAGTGAGTAAGATGTTGTTCGCTAACCTGAAGGTCCAGAGTTCAATACCGGCATAGCTTGAGATGATACCTTTGGATTTTTCAACCCGGTTTTTCTTTGTCAGTGATGCAGGTAAGAGGGGTTGACATGGAAAAAATGTCTAGTTGTGTTCGGATGGGACAATAAACAGAGGCTACAGGCTGTGCAAGTTACAGATCTTGTCAGTTGGAAATTGAAATATAAAAGGCAAATGCTTTCCAGGCAAAATTTAAAAAATAATAAAATGGCACTTACTTAATATCATACCATACATACAGAGAAAAAATAATAAACATTTGGGATTGTTGAATTTTTGTAGACATTTTGGTTTCCAGGAACCCACTCCACATTGGGCGTCTGTTTCTTTGACGGTAACTTCCTGTTGGACCAGGACACAATCATTTTCACTCATCTTCCCTACTCTAGTTCACATAGATCATTATATCTACAATACAAAACACATTAATGTTATAGCATATATATACAAGTGTCCTGTTGAGGATTTTTACCTGAAACACTTCCAACCAACCTACCAAATAAGATGAGCTCTTGCCAATTTGAATTAAAATAAATTCTGTTTGATTTCTGTTAAATAACATATTACTACAACTACTGACAGGCTTCAAATTACCATGCTTCGTGTCAGTTTGGTATTATCATATAACTCCCATGTATAAAGTAACAATAAACTTCCTAATGCCACAAATAGACAGAACATTATGTGCGCACACAGGATAATCAGGATACAATTCTGAAGTAGGCCTATTTAGAACATGGTCACATCGGTAGCCGAAATAGCTTGCAGATTGGCACAATATTTTTCTTTTAGAATCAGTTAAAGATTCCGAGATTAGCCAAGACTATCAAGAGATTCCCAGCTATTCCTTTGGATAGCATTCAAGGATTTGTCTTCACTAATTGCAAATGGAAAATAACACACATAAGCTGAAGGGCCTATTTGGAATAACTTTGTTAGAGGCAAGAGGCCACCCACAATATGTTAGGCATGTTTTAGCTTAGGTCTACTACAGCAAGTACTTTTGAAAGACAAGAATTTACACCCACTATTACTGATATATTTTTCCTGTCAGTTCAAGTGTGCTACAGCTTACATAACAATAGTACGCCTAACATTAAGCTATTCAGTATTCTTCAATTTCAGAAAGTTAGACTAGATCTAGGACTACTGCCAAATTTCTGTCTTCCTGCAAAGAACTGTGCAACTTCGCCCAAAAAAAAAATGATTACGAAATTCAGGTATACATACAAATAGCTTATTCTATATGCCTTGATCTGGATAGTGAATTAGTCCATTCAGTACCATAAACTTGACAATCGGCTTTACCAACTCACACGTGCTGCCTTCACCATTAGAAAATAAAATTCATAACATGTTATTTACATTTCTAGGTCAGCATGGGGTCATTTAACTAAGGGCACATAACTCCAATGATCTTTGGAATTTTCAGACTACAATTGAGATTCCTTCTATAGAATCGATTTGAACAGTTCAAAAATATGATTTACCTAAATGTGACAGTATTAAAAGAAATATCTGCCTGGAACACTGATAGCATCCATTTGCAGAATTCCAATTTTCAGTCAGACATCTGTGGTTATTTCAATTTCACTAAAACTACGTCACATATCAAGAACGGCCTTTTAGGACTATGTGATTAAGCAGATTTTACAATTAGTGGTGTCATCAGACACTTAGTTTTAGTGGAATTGCAAGAACCACAGAGTCTGATTGAAAATCGAAATGCTGCAAATTGATGCTATCAGTTTCTCCGATACTCATACTAACCTTTTTACAATCCCTTTAATGTCATGTCTAAATGCCTTATTCTGTGGTTTCCTAGCTTTGTCGTACATTCCATCTTAGCTTATAGGATAGCTGACTCATTTCATATCAAAATAGATTTTATCAGTTTGTCAACCTTCCATTATAATCGTGATTTGGATAGCTTGCCGTATATTTCCCAATATGGAATATGCCTTAAAATTGTTATCACTCACTATTTTGGTGTCTGCGTTATGCCTCCTCCAACCTCAAATTTTTCGTTAACAAGGGGTGCGTATTATATACGGGTAAATGAATTTTTTCCAGATATTGATTGGGTACGGAAGTGGTGCGCATTATACACTCTTGCGCATTATATTCAGAAATATACGGTACATGCCAGTTAACTTTGTGATTAAGAGAAAAGAAAATGGACGAGGCATTTAACAAGAGATTGATGTAGTGTATTTATTACAATGACTTATGATAGAATAACATATTTCTTTATAAATTCTACAGAGTATTAAATTAATAATAATAATAATAATATAATACAAAATTAATAATCATTATTTTATATGTAATTAGATAATTGAACTCTTAAATAATTATATATATACAAACACAAATTATACATCTAGAACACCAATTGGATTGTAAAGATGTTTTCTGAAAAAAAATATGTATATCGGGGATACAGATATTATCAATTTGCACCATTCCAATTTTCAATCAGTCTGTTTCCTACAATTCCAATAAAACTTAAATGTTTGATGATGCCACTACTGCAAAATCGCTTGTAGATAAGGCCCTTTGCAATAGTTAAGTCATAAAATGCTTCATACTAGTGAAATTGACGCCTAATTGAAAATTGGAATGGTGTAAATCGATGCTAACAGTGTCCCAAATACACATTCAAAGTTTAGAAAAACGCTTTATAAGCCCTTTAAATTATAAGTTACTCTTAACTTTATATAGGCAGTCTTTACACCTGGGTATAATTCAAAACATAAACTGCACATGGTGTGTTTTACCTTAAGGTAGAATAAATAGTAATTAAAACTCTGAAAGCCATAAAAAGTTAATTTCTTTTGTTTATCAACGAAATGGAGTTATAGTCTTCTTTTCTGCACCTGATTGGGCTAAAAAAAGACAGACAATGCCATGCAGTGTGCAAATGAGTAAAATTTTGCCAGGTCCAAAGCATGGATTAATCTATGAACCTTCAGGTTAACAACCAATTGTCTAACTTACCTAACCAACCACAGCTCCCGGCTCAGGTTTATGTTTATAGAAATACTAAGGACACCATTTCTCAATTATTAGTACGACTAACCTTGCACGTTAAGTAAAGAAAAACATTATTTTTGACGTCATCAAATCGTTAATTTATAAGGTTTGCGCTCGTACGTTAATCTATGATATTTTGAGAAACAGGGTCCAGATGTGCACGAATAACTTAACTCTATTGGTATTTCTTAAGTATCAGTAAAATGATGATTTACAATCAAGTGCCAAGTCATGTGATTATAAATAAACAATATTAATTAATAAATAGGCCAAACAACAACACTAAATACATTAACATAACAACAAAATAATAAAAATTAAAACAATTTTCAATTTTTGTACTTCGCACAATATATGCTTCTTAAAAAATCTTACCATAGATTATGGTTGAAGGTTTCAAATTGATTTTGTGAGAAATGATAGACAGAAATAATTTTCATTATTTGATATTTTTAGAGAAAGAAGTAAGTGAAGAAGAACTGTACTCTAAAAGTGACATTACATCGAACCAAAAAGCATAACAAACTTTAACAATACATTTAAATATGTTTGACTTTCAAGAATCAATGACAAGATATTTTTTTGGTTAAAACTTTCAGATAACTTGAACGACACTTTTTGAGCAAAATAAAATTTTGACCTGAAAAATCATGTTGTTCCTTTAACACTTTTATTATGAAATTTTTCAATTTTACAGCCTCTTCAATCTACTTGGTAGGTTAAAGATGGGTTCCCTTATTTTCATTTATAAAAATGAACATGCTAATACTTGTAGAATAGAAAGTAGAGCTGTCCTAATGAAATATACCAGTTTGTCTCACATGTCCATAATTAATTCATAATGAGCTAAATTAGAAGAGAATTACGAGCAGAATTCCAATGAGTGACCGATCAAGAAAGGTCAAAAAGACTTTTTTTTCTTTTTCTAGACTACATACATGGACATTTATGATTGGTTAAAACTCTTAATAATATGCAATAAGATCATAATGATATGATTAAGACTACAGGATGATATATTAGAAACACCAATTAATCAAATAGTTTGCTTAATTTGACAATACAAAAATAAGGAAACCTATCTTTAAGAGTCTTATCTTTCTATAATAATGGAAGGGTTGAAAAAGTATATCCAGTAACATTTGATGATATAAAAAAAAAAAACTGACAAATAGTGCTTTAATGTGGTTTAACTTACATCTTTTTAAAAAATTAAGAAAGCCTCTCATAAAATTAAGGCCTATAATTTGGAAGAATTATAAGTTGCATTAAGTGCATCAGTCTAGCTGTATAATAAAATTAATGGCAATTATAATACAAATTCAAACAACACATGACAAAAAAGTGTTTTCTAATGTTTTTGGCACTCCAATTCCATGCTGATATTATAACTTGATATTTAAAATAATAGTTATAAAGTTATATTAAAAGTAAGTATAATTAAGTAATATTTAAAGTAATCATATATTTATTTAAGAACACTATAATGATCTTACTTCAACCTTAAATTTTACCCCTAAAAGTATTAATACTGTGCCTCAAATATCAATGATAATTATTAAAGGGACTGGTGTGGCATTTTATTTAGGGGGGGGGGGGGGAAATATCTCAAACCAGGAATTTCACTTTCTATTTCATTTGTATATATGGCAGAGTCTTTCTAACATTCAAACACAGATAACTCATCGATTTGAAGACACAAATTTCGACAGTGAGCTGTAAATTCCATTCCTCATTAAAGATAAGCTAAAATATTCCGGTTTCTGAGACTTTCGTCAATCGGTCAAACGAATGGTGAACCTGTCCCTTTAAATAATACTTTTATCACAACTGAAATACAGCAATGTTGTATAAAATAACGTTGTAAGTACTATACTATATGTTTAAATTAGCCCATATAACTTTGTATAAGGTGATGAATTGTAACAAACAAAATAACCTTTCATACAATATAGGCATTATATGGATAGTAAAGAGGTTTTATGAACTCTTTATATGTGAAGGGCCATTGACCAAATTTTATGGCTTTATAATTGCATCATTCCAGTTTTCAGTAAGATGTCTGTGGTTCCTGTAGTTATAGAAAAGCCTTACCAGATTAGATGTCACTACTGCCAAAGCTACCAATAACATAATTGCAGCTTTTGCAATAGTGACATCAAAAAACGCCGCAAGACCCACAGATATCTGATTGAAAATGGGAATGGAGCAAATTTATGATTTCAGTGTCTCTAATACACATAAGAATTTTAGAAAAACTCTTTACAATTCCTTTAATTCATGGGATTTCCCTTGTGCTGTGTGTTGAATTAAAATCATGTAAATCAAATGAAAATTTATTTCTAGATCCCTGATACAAAATAAACTGGCCACGGTAGAAATTAGTAATATTTTCATTCATGATTGCTGTCATTCAAATATTATAATCTATGTAATACAGTTAAACAAAGAGTAAGAAATCTTTCCTGGCATGTTACTGATCGATCTTCACCATGTGGAGCTATTACAAACTGCATCTTATTCCTTGACTGTAATAACAACCTTTCTTGTATCACAGAATGCAGCAATTTGATAGGATTGTATGCTTAGCAAATACAGCCAATCAGCGATCTCGATAGAAAGACTGTTCTGCTTACAAAAGTTCCGTCAAGAGCTCTAATTGGCTGTATTGCCTAACATGCAATTCAACCAAATCACTGCATTTACTTCAAACTTCAGTGATACAAAAAAAGATGCTATAGCAGGCAAGGTATAAGATGAAGTAGGTAATAACTTGACCATTGTGAAGTTGCCTACTTGACCTTGCCTTCTGATATATTGTTTTCCAATAATATAATAACAGAATAATGAAACAAACAATAAACATTATAGATACAGAACAAACAATAACAATAACAAATGACCTTATTCACCATATACAACTATGAGAAGTATCATTTCAAAAATAACGAAACTGTCCACATAAATCAATGCTGGTCATTTCTTTCCTGTCACATATTTATTTTATTTAAATCATCTTTCTGTCTTGAAGTGACTAAATTTTTAAAATTAAGCGGAAATCAAAATTATAACCTCACAGAGTTACTTTCCTTTAAAGACTTGCAAGACTGTAAATTACCATATAACTTCATTGTTGAAAACATAATGCCAGAGAGCTCAGTTACAAATGTTCAAGAACATGCAAGAACAAAAATGGCCATACTTCCACTTTCTTCTATGTGTATATTTACCGCCATTTTGTGTTCATCGTTTTTGTACTTGGCTCCTGACAAAAGGGTAGTGATTTTTACAGTGTAATTACAGTACATTTGCAATTGATTTTAAATTTCGTCTCATTGTCCAATCAGATAAGTATATGAATGGAGAATAATTTATAAACAGTAAAGCTCAAATTTTTAAATTAAAAGGTTATATAACAGAAAATATTTCTAAAAGAAATCTCTTCAAAGTGGTAATCTGGGTAGCTTTCTTGTCCAAACTTACACACCAGCAAACGTATGCATTTTGTTGCAATAAATAAAAAAAAACTGTGTTAACTTCCCATTTTCCACAACCTTTTCTAATAGGTTCAAATTATTCTGATCAATAAAAATGGTCTTCAAAATTTTCAGCTCCCAGTTTTCTGAGCTCATGAAAAACTATAATTGGCATATTTAGAATTCAGTAACTCCGACATCCAGCAAAGATTAATTCCAGGAACAGCTCTGAGCAAACACTCCAAAGCACCAATGCCACATTTTTCCAGAAGCTTTAAGGTTTTCATATATTTTGTTTTGTTTCTACTGTACTTTTATATGCTTCCTTCATGATTCATCTGCATCTGTCACAACCGACATGCAGCCGTCACAATTTATATGCAGCTGTCACAATTTATATGCAGCTGTCACAATTTATATGCAGCTGTCACATTGCATCTGCAGCTTGTACATTTCAACTGCAAATTTCACATTTTATATGCAGCTATCACAATTTATATGCAGCTGTCACATTTCATCTGCAGCTTGTACATTTCAACTGCAAATTTCACATTTTATCAGCTGCCTTCACAATTGATATGCAGTTTTCAATATATGCCACCTTGGCATTTCATCTTTCACTTTTATGTTTCTTATGCAGCCTTGAAATCTATCTGCAGCTTTGGTATTCTGTATTAAGCTTCACCTTTGCTGACTTCAATTTTACTGAAGCACATGCTTAATTCACAATCTGCCAGCAGAACAACTTGAACAAAGAACACAGAACATGGCAATGTCTTTCACACATTCCACAAGGTTTTGGCTTCAGCTAGGATCGGCCATGCTTATTAATGGATTGTCTTTTCTTTGTAACATTTTCAATGGCATGATTACGAACACTCTTTGGATCAGTCAAAATACTAGTAGCAGTACTGATATGAACTAGTGCCTTAGAAACAACTGAAATATAAAAAGATAGCTTGCTAGACAAGGTAACATACGCCCACTGGCAGCTGTCAGAAATGATAAAACAGTCTTTAGTGAGTAAAGTATGAATTTTCTCATATTGAAGAAATTTTAATAGTTTGAATTCAATGATATATATATTTACTGCCATTTATTTATACTGAGAAATACCAATAAATTTTTAAAAATCAATTATCGCATCAATATACATGATCACACCATGTTTCATTAAAATCAATTGAAAACTGTTAACAAACAAATTTTGACACTAAACCAAGGGCAATAACTCAAAAACCGTTCATCAAAAGATTGTCAAGTTCTAACTTGACCACGATCTCATCAATATAAATGATCACATAAAATTTCATTCATATCAGTTGAATACTGTAGTCTCTATTCTGTTCACAAGAAATGTTGACAGACCAACGGACCAACAACAGGGGCGACGGCAATATTTCCATATGGGCGTATAAAATTATCATGCAGTTGCAGGAAACCAGCAAATTGTAAATTTTTGTATGAGCTTAGGTTTGTTTTTGGTGGCCACTTCAGTGACTTATTAACCTATAAACTTGTTCTAAAATTTGAAAAAAAAAAATTTTTTATATTTTCTTCTTTTCAAAGGGACAGTCTCGCAATTTTTGGGGGTTGACGTGGGTCTTGAACATATGTAAATAATGTTCAGAACTACTAGAAATGTACGAAAATCACATAATTCCTTCAAAAATACCTCAAACTAGGTCTTTCTCTATATGTTAAGTCTCAAGAAGAGACGCAGATAATTCTGGACACACCTGGATTTGAAGGATCAAATTTCAATAGTGAGCTGTGAACACTATTACCGATTGGCTTTGGTAAAATATCTTCGTTTCTGAGACTAAGGTATGATTGGTCAAACGGATGGCAAAACTGTCTCTTTAAGGCTGTATTCCAAAGGGTGAAATATTTGTAAGAAGCAAAATTTTTCAAACCAAATAAAACTTCTCGACACCACAGTGTAAACTAAGGTATTCATAAAGCATCTATAGATCTATTAATAAAAGAGATAACTTACTAGGCCTGAGAGACTGTAATGAACAATGTTGATCTAACCAAGCTAATACAGTACGACATAAATCATCTACACTAGCAGTTGATACCATATTATTATATGAATCAAATAATGGTCCAATAATTATAGAAAACTTCATAGTGTTAAGGAGCTTTATAAAAATCAGGATATGGAGGCACTTGATTGGTTAGTTCTGAACATGTTCCGTCTCTTCCAATTGAAAAGTATGGGAGTGTAAAATTTTTCAAAATTATTTCTTTCTCCGCCTGCCATTTTGAATCCTGTCTGCAACTACTATTTTTTCGGCATACGTGGAACACGTGAGATTGCCCGCATTTCTAACCTTTTTTTATGAGATTTTTCCCCGAAAAATTGATTTCGGGGCTGCGAGGGGGAGGGGGGGTCCTTTGGCTCCACCACTGCCTCTGTGCCAACGTCTGGTTGATTACATGAATCCCAAACGTGCAGAACTGACCAATCAAGCGAGCCGCAAATAATAGCAAAGATCTGAAGTTACTAGTATGTTAAAAATAAAAATATTTAAACCAATGCAGGTCATAGAAAATATACAGGTTTTGGCTGGGACAATTAAACCAAGGAAAGGTCCTACACACAGAGGCATTTTGACACTACATAATCAAATTTCCCCTATTGCATACAGAATTAAATTTCACATCTTCATGAGGGTAATATTGAAAGGAAAACTATCAAATTCATTTGATTCCAGAGGTATTGGCATCATAAGAACAAAAATACATCTTTGAATTTTGTTTTTGGGTAATATTTTGGTTTTCAATAACATTTAATCTAATCTGATCATTCATTTGAAAGTTGAAAAGGATACCACCCAGAATTTCCAGTTCTGTAAAGTAGAATTTTTAACATAATCATCGAACATCTCTTTCATTTGATCAACCCGTTGTCTGGTGACTGGAGCACCTGTTTCTGGTAACTGAGACTGTATAATACTGAAATACAATTTACATTTCCATTGAGCAATATTCAGAAATATTTCAAACTTTCAGGAAATAAAAACAGGCATTAAGCACTCTGGCATCTTGACAGAAAAGGAATAATATTTCCAAAAAGAATTTGTAAGAAAAAATTAAAAAACAACCACTTTTTACAAGGATATTTACTACAAGTAAGGTTCATGAGAATCCTTGGCAAATCCTTGTCGCATTGATCTTCCCTAGATCATAAGAAGTGCCCATTTACAGCTGGGTCAATTGGAATATGCCTTTTTTAATACTGGTTACATCTAAAACATTTGTCAAAAAGATAAAGAGGTCAAAATTCTAACAATCCATGATTCAATTTCAACAGTTTCTATAAATAGACATGATGTAATAAGATTAAAGAGATTGTAAAGAGGATTTCTAATTGTTTTATGTGTATCAGGGACAATGATAACATCAATTTGAACCATTTCAATTTTCAATCAGATGTCTGTTGTTCCTGCAATTGCACTAAAACTCAGTGTTTTATGTTTCACCCCAGCAAAATATGCTTGCATCACATAAGACCTTCGTGGGAGTGACATCATTAAACACTAAGTTTTAGTGCAATTGCTAGAACCACAGATGTCTGGATGATAATAGCCATAGCGCAAATTGATGCTATCAATGACCCTGATACACATACATAGGACTGGTGCCATGGCTATATACAGTATATTATATAGCATGCAGTGTATTTTTGTGTTTGTGTCTTTTCAACTAAAATCATACTAATGACTAACTAATTTTCACATAATCAATAGACTTATCTATTGCTCTGTGACCTAGGCCAGTGCTTTCATTGAGACTCATCTCAATACACCCTAACACATACAAAATTTATAATCCCTTAAAGGTAATCAGTATAGGTGTATCATTCAAGATTCCATCTTCAGCTTGATAACATATGGCCTTACACAAAACAAAAAATAACAAACCTGATTGAATTATGTAATGTTTCCATTTCTTGTTTTAAAATATCAGCTTCTTTCTGCATCTGTATTCTTTCAGCTTTTAATTTCTTACAGAATTCAGCAGCTGCAATAAAGATAAATTGTAGTTATCAGATAGCAATTTCAAAATCTTTTATAGATTTTTTGATTATCCTTTTGATCATAATTTTAGGGATTTTGTTTACACAGCGACAATATTTATGGTATTCTTATAAAATCCAGTGAATAGAAAGAGTAATCCTTATTTGATAAACAATATAAAGTTAGTGTGCTAATAACATTGACAAGAAATTCATTTTTGAAATTTCCTAAATCACTTTCCTACATAAATCAAATTGTATTACTGTTCAACACTTACTTTTTCGCAGCATATCCGCTTTACTGGCTTTGGGATTTTGTGTTAAAGATGGAACCAACACCACCAACATATCAAATCCATTCTGTAAACAAAATAAATGTTTTTAACACATTGTAAAATAATAGAAAATCTATAAAGGGGAGTTATGTAAATAGTCTTCAGAAGTACTAGAAATGTACGAAAATCGCATAATTCCTTCAAAAATACTTCAAAGTAGGAATTTTACTCACTATTTCTATATAAGTCCTTTCTATATATCACAGAGTATCTTAAATTGACAATTCAAAAATTTAACATTCAAACATGGATAATTATGGATTTGAAGACTCGCTTGGTCAAAAAGAATCATGCATCAGGCCCTTTAATACTTGGCATTAATGTAAGGTATGAGTAGCCATTGAATAATCCCTGCAGCTCTAGAGAGCTCATCTCATGCTATCAAAATGTCATTGTTCACAGTTCTCATTGACATATCTTAATTTACATTAGGATTACTTTCAAAAATTGATCTAAGCAATGAGCAAAAGACATGACTTGGTAATCCTTCCTATATAAGACCTGATGATCATGACCTCACCTTCAAATTACAGCGTCGTTTTTGTTCAGCAGAAAGATGAGCTGCCCGGCGAGTTTCATTAAAAGGACTTTTATCATCATCTCGTATTGAGGACAAGCCAGGACTTGAGGACTAGAATGACAATTAAGGTAAAATTAATAAAAAAGAAACACAAATTGAAGTGTCTCTAGCTGATGCAAAAAGAGTGTCTTCAGCTGATGGTGATAGAGATAAGTTAAACTTACCAAAGAAGTGTTTCTCTAGCTGATTGTGATAAAGATAAGTTATACTGACCAAAGAGAGTTTCTCCAGCTGATAGTGATAGAGATAAGTTAAACTTACTGGAGTAAGAGTTTCTCTAGCTGATGGTGATAGAGATAAGTTAAACTTACCAAAGAAAGAGTTTCTCTAGCTGATTGTGATAGAGATAAGTTATACTTACCAGAGTAAGAGTTTCTCTAGCTGATGGTGACAGAGATAAGTTATACTTACCAAAAAAGAGTTTCTCCAGCCGATGGTGATAGAGATAAGTTAAACTTACCAAAGAAAGAGTTTCTCTAGCTGATTGTGATAGAGGTAAGTTATACTTACCAAAGAAAGAGTTTCTCTACCTGATGGTGATAGAGATAAGTTAAACTTACCAGAGTAAGAGTTTCTCTGGCTGATGGTGATAGAGATAAGTTATACTTACCAGAGTAAGAGTTTCTCTAGCTGATGGTGATAGAGATAAGTTATACTTACCAAAGAAAGAGTTTCTCCAGCTGATGGTGATAGAGATAAGTTAAACTTACCAGATTAAGAGTTTCTCTAGCTGATGGTGATAGAGAAAAGTTATACTTACCAGAGAAAGAGTTTCTCCAGCTGATTGGGAAAGATAAGCTATACATGCTAGAGAGTGTTTTTTGCTGGTGATTATAAGGGAGAAAGTGTCTCTTGCTGATGATAGGAAGGATTAAGGTATGCTTTCCAGAGAAAGACTATCTCTAGCTGATGATGATAAAAGAGGAAATGTCTATAGCTGATTGCAACTAAAGATGACTTTTGCTAACCACTAAAAATGAAATGAAATGAACAGTGTTTTACGTCCTACTTTTCTGCACCATGTGGGCTAATGAAGACGGTGCTAACCACCAGAGAAAGAGTGTCTCTTGCTGATGGTAATAAAAGAGAGGAAATGTCCACACATGATGATGATAAAAGATAAAGAGTTAAATACCTACCGGAGAGTATCTCCAGCTGATGGTGATAAAAGATCTGTTTAATACTTGCAGGAGAGAGTGTATCTCTAGCTGATGACAATAAAAGATGAGTTAAATACTTACCAGAGAGAGAGTATCTCTAGATGATGACGATAAAAGGTGAGTTAAATACTTACCTGGGAGAGAGTATCTCTAGCTGATGATGAAAAAAGATGAGTTAATTACTTACTGGAGATAGAGTAGCTGATGGTGATAAAAGCTGATATAAATACTTACCGGAGAGAGAGCATCTCTTGCTGATGGTGACAAAGGATATGAGGATACTGGTGATATTGGATTAATATTTTGAGGCGAAGAAGCTGGGCTACCAAATGATGAAAATGATGATTCAGGAGCTGTAAATAGATAAAAAAAAATTAAGTTTAAAGTTCAGATCTAAACAGGCCTATTAAAACTGTGATGATTGTCAAATACAAGATGGGTCAAATATACTTAAGAACATATAACTTTGCAAACTTCTGCTTCTGCTATTATAGAACCTAAGATTACTCAATTCTGCTTATCATACTATCTGGAAAATGGTGTTTCATGCCTTAATTTTCAGACAGACCAAATCTTGCAGTGTACAATGAGGGAAATTTTTCCAGGACAGCGACATTAGAATACTTCTTTTTGATTTTCAACTGTCGAGGGATCTTTAACGTGCACAACCTGTAGCACACAGGGCCTCAGTTTATTGTCCCATCTGAACGACTAGACGCTTTTTCCATGTCAACCCCCCTTTTTCCTAGACAAAATCATTAGACTGCTATTCAATATCAAATGACAAACACCCTGTAGCACATTGAGTCTGACTCTATCCTATGTTGAACCCTGACTGATATGCTAGCGAGAAAGCATCCAACTCACTGAGTTACAATAACCCCAAAACAGACACAAAACAATACTTGAAAACAAGATAAAAAATTAAAAATCTTACAAGATAAAGGATGTATGTTGGAGGGTGAATTAAGTACTTGATGTCCAACAAGGTAATCACTTGATGCCTGAAGAAACAAAATTTCAGTATTTTTTTTATAATCAATGAAATCAGAAAGACAACACAGTTTCAGCAGTTAATTTCATCATCCTGTATCATTTTTCAGTATGAAAAAGAATGTTAGTTCATATGCAATAACATTACAAAATATCTATTATAGAAATATTAACACTACTGAAGTTTGACATGATGCACTTGGCATAATTTGGGTCCTAATGTATTACCATTCTAGATATATTCTGGAACTATTGAATTATGAACTCATATCACAATGCCTTACCTTATTGAAATCTAGAGTATCAGTAGTAGTATTTTTATAATTTAATGCTGGGTGTTGTGTAAGACCACCAAGCTGTTGTTGATGAGCTGTATCTGTTGGTTGTTGAGGTGGTGGTACTGGTCTGGGTTCAGACTTGATTAAGGCACCAGGATAGGTTCCTGAAATTATAATTCCATGCATTTGTTGACCTTCAGTCTCTATTCTCTTAATGTCTTGTAATGTTCAAGAATGAAAAAAAACTTGGCGATAAATGACAGGCACAAGAGAACTTTCTCTAAACTTTGGTATGGCCTTTATAATGAAATAATAAATGTTTATGAATCTTTAGGTTTTGAAAGCTGCAGCCCTTCTTGTTCATATGAATATAAATCAAAAGAAAGCATGTCCTACCCTTAGTTAACAGTTGAGCTAAGTATGTGCTTTGTAATGAAGGTGAGGAGGTAGATTGAGAAGGCGTTAGGCTTGGTGTTTGTTGTTGTTGTTGTTGATGATGATGTTGTTGTATTGTTGTTGCTGGTGAACTGGGTACTGCTGGAGCTATTGAGCGTTGTTTACGTGGTACTGGCTTACTCTGAAAACAAAGCTGATAGATAAACTTCAGAAAATACACATCGACCTTGACAATGAAGCAATGGCTGCTACAACTCTCAGGTTACCTTGCATATCAAATTCATACACAAAGACTGAACTACTTGGAACCCTTCCGCAAGAGCAAACCGCCTTCAGCAGTTATTCAGGCTCATTTTGGGGAATCTTTTGGTATTTCTGTGTCATAAGTCTGGTTATTTAGAAATGAATGGAGTTTAACGTCCTACTTTTCTGAACCTTGTGGGCCAATGAAGACAGGCAACACTATAAAGGGTGCAATGAGGGAAATTTTGCCAGGACAGCAGCATAAGCCTGCTCTTTTTCGATTTCCAACTATCTTTAACATGCACAGCCTGTAGCACATGGGACCTCTGTTTATTGTCCCATCCGAAGGACTAAACGCTTTTGCCATGTCAGCCCCTCTTACCTGCATCACTGACAGGGGGAAACGGTTGAAAAATCCGAAGGTATTATCTGGACCTATGCCGGTCTGAATATTTGCAAATGAATCTCCCCAGTTTCTAATTTGTAGGCTACTGGTAGTGAAAAATCTCAATGAAAACTTACAGGAATAGCAAAACCATCTCTTTTCTGATTGGGTGTAGCAGACGTCACTGTAGAGGATGCTGAGTTGCCAGATTGCCTGCTACGTCTGCCAGATCTAGTGGGTGATTGAGTGTGGGTTACAGCTGCTGTATTATTTCTGGCAGACGAAGAGTTATGGTTGGTGGTGTAAGGTTGTCCAGTCTCTTTCGGTCTCAGTTTATCGTAGAGCAGACTAGTGGGCTGATTTATGGTCTGACTATATTGGGCTAAACTTTCCAATAACTGAGAATTAAATATAGCTGAGATATCTATTGTATTTGTGATATTCTGAGAGTTTAAATGTTGGCTGTTGTTTACTGAGTTATTCATGATGTAATCGGAGGTAAGTTGAGGCATTCCAATATTTATTGCACTGGAGTTAATATTCTGAAAAATAAACGATTTGTTACATAGATTCCAAGATAGACAAATGTCATTATATTGATTAGTTATGAAGAGTTTCAAACTAGGGTTGCAGCCAGAAGAAATTGAGTGGCAACTCAAAATGGCAAAAGCGAACAAAGCCCTCAACATCATATCCCATGTTGGGTCATGTTCATTTTATCATGCCTGTTGCAAACAAAAGTGTGTACAATACAAGCTATTCTTTAAGAGATTGTAAAGAGGTTTTCTAAATTTGTTATGTGTATCGGGGACTCTGATAGCATCAATTTGTACCATTCCAATTTTCATTCCGATGTCTGTGGTTCTTGCAATTCCACTAAAACTAACGTGTTTTATGATTAGAGGGGAGCTACCGGAAGCTACTATTAATATCTATGCAGTTCCCCTCCAGTGACGTCATAGAACGCGTTAGTTTTAGTGGAACTGCAAGAACCAGAGACGTCGGAATGAAAATTGGAATGGTGCAAATCAAAGCTATCAGTGTCCCCAATACACATAAATATTTTAGAAAACTTCTTTACAATCTCAAATATGTTAAAGTCTTTGATATTTGGCATCATTGTATTAATTGTCCACAAATTTTTGTGCTGGTCTTTGAAGCGTTATTTTCAGCCAGTGCAGGTAGGGAAAGCTGAGTGGTTGCTATTGACAACCACTGTAGCTACTACCTTGTTTTAAACGTAACAGTCGCAACAAAAACCCATACCTTATCAGAATTTCACAAACACCAACAACCAAAAAACATTCCAATTCAAAAACACTCGGAGCTTCAGATTACAGCCACCCCCCAAATGACAGATATACAAGACACCCACCTGATTAGCTGTGACATCTTGAGGTACTGATGTATATACTGTTTGATTTTTACTAGTACCTAGTATGTCTGAAATATACAAGTTTTAATATAGATTACTACAGAATTTATACATCATATCAAATACCAGTGTTACTGTTATTGCCCCTTGTATGAATTAACTCCGCTAAT